CAATCTGTCAAAGATTAGTTTTGATTAGAGACCGTCAACTATTTCATATTCATAAGAGTAAAAGTGTTGCTGACTATTGAAATATTGTATATTTTAGCTCAATGCCCTGATCCTGGTATTCCAAAGAATGGTTACCGTACGGGAAATTCGTTTTTGGATAATATGGCTGTACGGTTCAATTGTAAAAAGAAMTTTGATATTATCGGCTCGCGGGTTCTGCGATGTAGAAACGGCACGTGGAGTGCTGCCACGCCCATATGTCAAGGTAAGGGATGTTAGTGTGGACAATCAACTCCATTTAGCTTACAAACCAGCTAATTACCAGCTTACAATACAACCAATCAACTTGCAAATGCTGCCTTAATCATATTATAAAACAAGCTCATGCATGGAAAAATAATGTTTTATTTTCAGTGAGATGTCAGGATCCAGGCTCTCCTGCTAATGGTGGCCGTCGTGTTCCTGGTGGGTTCAAGGAAGGTCAAAATGTTACGTTCTTTTGTCGACAGCGTTTTGTGTTGTTTGGTAACAATCACATTACTTGCCGAAATGGTCGGTGGACAGGATATCTTCCTCAATGTAAAAGTAAGAAATATAGGAAACGCTGGTTAACCTCCTCGGCTAGACAATTGTCGACTAGGGCTCCGATCTCAAGGCAATATTATTTGCTCTAATTCTACCCGCATTGCTATCTTATATTAGTATATTACCATACTAGTGGACTATTGCAAATCCTTCGTTCTGATTAGCTACACTATTCGGGGTCTATTTTCAATAGTCCTCGACTAGCCTTCGGTCTCATGGGCGTATTTCACTCGCCATCAGATCTAATTGTTAAATATYCTGAAGCATGAAAACTAAGAATGATGATCTCAAAGAGCTTTGAAATGGGACAAATATTGTCTAAGCAGGAGTTCTATTGTCATAGAGAACAGCAGTTTGTTCTCAGGTCTCCTCTCTTTGGTTGGTTAAGAAAGAGTCTTGGGTTGAGATTGAATGACTCGATATGGACGTGAATGGCGTACTTTCAATATCTGGTTGACTAGCCACGCCACGCACTAAAGACCTGAAGACGAGGCTCCGGGGAAATAATAAATAGTTATTTTGTTTCCACTGAGCCTCGTTTTCAGTTCTTTTGCGTATGACCATCGAATGTTGCCCATTAAGTTAATCAATTCTAATAATCCCGTCAGTCGGCATCATGTTGCATGCTCGTCAAAGTCGATGAGGACCAGATAATTAACAGATGAACTACATACAGAATCCTATTCATCCTTGCCTGGTGAGGAATGGGGCGGGAAATAAATACAAAAAAAAAAGCAGAAAGAAAAAAAACAAAAAGAAAGGCAACAAATAACAACAAAAACATCAACAATGGCAACAACAACAAGAACAACATTAACTGTAACAACAACAGCAACAACAACAACAGCATCAACAACAACAACAACATTAACTGTAGCAACAGCAATGACACAAAGAAAATATACAACAACAGGAACATCAACGTAAGATATGCTTTGTATAGAGACCTGCGATGATCCTGGTTTTCCTGTCAATGGTGGTCGCCGTGGAAGCAGCTTTATTGAAGGTCAATCTGTAAAGTTCTTCTGTCACAAGGGGTATCGTATTGTTGGAAAAAGAAAAAGAAACCCTATGTGTATTGATGGACGATGGTCCAGTAGACCACCTCTATGCAAGACAAGACATCCGGGTAAACGCTGTGTAAATTTAACAAATCGAAATCGCTTTTCTATGGTCTGTTTAACAAATCTTAATCGATAAGCGTACAGATCATAGAAAAGCGATTTCGATTTGTTAAAGTTATGGTAAAAAACAACAATCACTAACTCGACCACTATGCTATCACTTCTTAAGATACCTGGATAATTTTGAAATTTGTTCTTAACCTTTTCAAATCCCATCAAATTAAAAATCCTACGGCATTTTAATTATCTGACGCCAGCTCATCTTTACTTGTGTAAAGATATTTGAATCAAATTAGTGGCATGTCAACGGGTTGATCAAACCTTCCTCTTGAAAGAATCCGGCTACGCATAACAAAATATCAAACAAAAATGAAATCACATAGTGCAACGACGGTCTGCAGGGAGACTATCCTTCGGTCAACCCCCTCCCCCGAACTTTGTGTGTGTGTGTGTTTTTTTAATATTCTTCTTATCTTTTCAAAGTGAGACCGTGCAAACCACCCAGCCCTATCACTGCAACCAATATGRTTTTTCTTGGACCTATCAAGAAAAGATATAATAAAGGTGAGAAGGTGAAATATGGCTGCCGTCCTGGTTACTTTTCTATTTATGGACAACAATCAAGGACATGCCGACGTGGGAGATGGTCGCGTCTTCAGTCTCGCTGTTTAGGTAAACTTGAATTAGCCCTTTATACCACAGGTAGCCCAAGCTCTATTCTGAAGGCAAAAAATTGTAAAAAGTTTTAACGAAATTATTTGAACTTACATATATGTTTTTCTCGCGTTTTATATACCTGGTGTGTATTTTTTTTATATATTTTACCTTGTTATGGCCCCTAGTTAATATAAGTGACGAGGTAGAACTTTCTCGACGATGACCGTTTCACAAAACAAGTCGTTTTCGTACCAAATAAAAAGTCAGATGGAGATTTCGCTTCACTGGACTTTAGAGGGATAACAATCAAATAAATCTGTGTCTTTCTTTTTGCACTATCTAAGCCTACGAACGAACAGTTCTCGTGTTGATTTCAAACTCAACTTCAACGACCGCCATTTTATCCGTGACACGGTCATGTGTACCCAACGCTCACGCTCGAGGCTCGAAACTATGCCACATTTCAAACACTCGCGAGGGAGACTCCGTTGACTTCAGAGTAGAGCTTGGGCTACCTGTGTTTATACTGCACTAAGTGTCCATGACCTTCTGTTCTTTTTTACCTATTTTGCATCCTAAACGAGGCTGTAGCGTGAACTATATAATCAAAGTATTCAAGTATTTTAGTATTTAAAGTCCTTATTTACTGACTTTAGTTCAAATGAYACGCCCTATAACTCACCATTTTATTTAAAAGGTGGTTTTAAGGTGAAATGTATAGGATATATACAGTGTTTTAAGAAAACTTCGATTATTGAAGATAGTGTATTCCGATGCCGAAATGTTGATTGTTAATGCCGTTGAAAACTGGGAGTTATCGTGGTTTCAAAGTGACTACCAATTCCGCAGTACTGTCAAGAACTTTAATGGAAAACAATCACGTGTWYATTTGTAATTTTGCAGCAATGCATTGCGGTCTCGGAATRCACCATGCRCATGTCATTTTATTCACCGTTTCCTGACTGAACAGACTGATGTTTGTATATATTATCGACTTTTACAGACTTTGTCAAAACAGTATTCAAACCTTAATTATTTCGTCTTCTCGGACTTGCGAAGAAAATTAGAAAGCATAACGAGGACTGTTTTATGATATCATTTTCAAACTCATATCATCCATGCAACACGACTTAACAAAAGTTAACCTGAGTATCAGAAAGGGACAAAAAGGTTTTCATTTTTTTCCTGCGCGCGACCTCTTTCAGGCCCTCTCAAAGGCCTAACGTCAAATTAAACATAAGTTTTTCTCTCTTAGCGAAAAGCTGTAGTGATCCTGGTAAACCTCGCCATGGCACTAAACATGGACTATTGTACAATGTTAACCAAGTAGTGAGATACACCTGTAAACCTGGATTTAACTTACATGGCGCGTCTGCCATATTCTGCTTGGTGAATGCTACGTGGAGTTCTACAAAACCGGAATGCAAACGTAAGAAACTAGTTTTTTTTGCATGTGACATGAACTGCTTTATCAAGCTGCCAATTACAGCTTGATGTAAATACGATAGCTGGATATAGTTTTAGCTAGCTTTTTATAGTTTACAGCACGAATCATTGGTCAATACTAGACTTACTAGGCCCAGTCCCCGGACATCACAAACCGCGATGGCTTGTTTTCTTGTGTTCACTCTCGGTTTAAACAAACTGGGAATCAGGCACTACACACACAGAATAAGTAATCAAGCATCATAAAATACCGAATTACTAGCCCTCTAACATAGCTCTATAACAATAGTTCTTTATGATTTGGAGGTGTTGACTGTGGTCAGGTTTCTAGACCGTTACGAGGACAAGTATACGTACATTCAACGACTTACGGTAGCATAGCAACATTCAAATGCAATAGACGAGGGTATATTTTGCAAGGATCGAAGACACGACGGTGCCAGGCTGATGGCCGCTGGTCAGGAACCCCAACATATTGTGCAAGTAGGTCGTTATAAGTAGAGTGAAATATGCACTAATTTAGATAAATGTCACTATATTACAAACTGTCAACATCATCATCATCAAATCAAGTCTCGTTGACATAGAGAAGGGTTTGGTTCGTGAATGGGTTTCTTATCATTGGCTGTTGTCATGGCAATGTCTCTCCTGGAATAGATACTGCCCACCCGAGGCACACACCTGGTTTCGGTTCCCAGAGCACAAGATTGTGTTGACCAAATCAAATCTCCTCACCACTACCCCTCCCCCCACTGTAAGCATGCTATGACGTCAATATGCATTGTTTCCTCTTCCTGACTAGGGAGGTCCTGTGGCAGACCCAAGACACCAATAGATGGCAGTATGGTTGCAAATAATGGATATTCCTATACAGCTCGTATAGTATTCAAGTGTCGAAAGGGTTACCAGATGATCGGAAGCGCAACTAGTGTTTGTCTGGACAATGGGACATGGAGCTCTCCACCTCCATCTTGTAAGAAATCAAATATTATATATCATCATTACAATCAGCCTTCAAAGGAAAGTTTATGCTAATATATATAATTCGTTTTCCTTGTAGGTTCCGTGCACCTATTCATGCCGCCGGTCGGGCGTTAACAAAAAGCTGGTTCAGCCGCGGTTACTAAAGATCGTGGTTTGAAGTCAAGTTTCCCATCGCGTCTATGAATCTCTGTAGATAACATTCTCTGAAGAAAATGTCAAATCGTGTTTTTTCCTAATAATTTGTTTTCATTTTTAAGGANTTTCAATATCTGGTTGACTAGCCACGCCACGCACTAAAGACCTGAAGACGAGGCTCCGGGGAAATAATAAATAGTTATTTTGTTTCCACTGAGCCTCGTTTTCAGTTCTTTTGCGTATGACCATCGATTGTTGCCCATTAAGTTAATCAATTCTAATAATTCCGTCAGTCGGCATCATGTTGCATGCTCGTCAAAGTCGATGAGGACCAGATAATTAACAGATGAACTACATACAGAATCCTATTCATCCTTGCCTGGTGAGGAATGGGGCGGGAAATAAATACAAAAAAAAAAGCAGAAAGAAAAAAAACAAAAAGAAAGGCAACAAGAAATAATAACAACAAAAACATCAACAATGGCAACAACAACAAGAACAACATTAACTGTAACAACAACAGCAACAACAACAACAGCATCAACAACAACAACAACATTAACTGTAGCAACAGCAATGACACAAAGAAAATATACAACAACAGGAACATCTTAAGATATGCTTTGTATAGAGACCTGCGATGATCCTGGTTTTCCTGTCAATGGTGGTCGCCATGGAAGCAGCTTTATTGAAGGTCAATCTGTAAAGTTCTTCTGTCACAAGGGGTATCGTATTGTTGGAAAAAGAAAAAGAAACCCTATGTGTATTGATGGACGATGGTCCAGTAGACCACCTCTATGCAAGACAAGACATCCGGGTAAACGCTGTGTAAATTTAACAAATCGAAATCGCTTTTCTATGGTCTGTTTAACAAATCTTAATCGATAAGCGTACAGATCATAGAAAAGCGATTTCGATTTGTTAAAGTTATGGTAAAAAACAACAATCACTAACTCGACCACTATGCTATCACTTCTTAAGATACCTGGATAATTTTGAAATTTGTTCTTAACCTTTTCAAATCCCATCAAATTAAAAATCCTACGGCATTTTAATTATCTGACGCCAGCTCATCTTTACTTGTGTAAAGATATTTGAATCAAATTAGTGGCATGTCAACGGGTTGATCAAACCTTCCTCTTGAAAGAATCCGGCTACGCATAACAAAATATCAAACAAAAATGAAATCACATAGTGCAACGACGGTCTGCAGGGAGACTATCCTTCGGTCAACCCCCTCCCCCGAACTTTGTGTGTGTGTGTGTTTTTTTAATATTCTTCTTATCTTTTCAAAGTGAGACCGTGCAAACCACCCAGCCCTATCACTGCAACCAATATGRTTTTTCTTGGACCTATCAAGAAAAGATATAATAAAGGTGAGAAGGTGAAATATGGCTGCCGTCCTGGTTACTTTTCTATTTATGGACAACAATCAAGGACATGCCGACGTGGGAGATGGTCGCGTCTTCAGTCTCGCTGTTTAGGTAAACTTGAATTAGCCCTTTATACCACAGGTAGCCCAAGCTCTATTCTGAAGGCAAAAAATTGTAAAAAGTTTTAACGAAATTATTTGAACTTACATATATGTTTTTCTCGCGTTTTATATACCTGGTGTGTATTTTTTTTATATATTTTACCTTGTTATGGCCCCTAGTTAATATAAGTGACGAGGTAGAACTTTCTCGACGATGACCGTTTCACAAAACAAGTCGTTTTCGTACCAAATAAAAAGTCAGATGGAGATTTCGCTTCACTGGACTTTAGAGGGATAACAATCAAATAAATCTGTGTCTTTCTTTTTGCACTATCTAAGCCTACGAACGAACAGTTCTCGTGTTGATTTCAAACTCAACTTCAACGACCGCCATTTTATCCGTGACACGGTCATGTGTACCCAACGCTCACGCTCGAGGCTCGAAACTATGCCACATTTCAAACACTCGCGAGGGAGACTCCGTTGACTTCAGAGTAGAGCTTGGGCTACCTGTGTTTATACTGCACTAAGTGTCCATGACCTTCTGTTCTTTTTTACCTATTTTGCATCCTAAACGAGGCTGTAGCGTGAACTATATAATCAAAGTATTCAAGTATTTTAGTATTTAAAGTCCTTATTTACTGACTTTAGTTCAAATGATACGCCCTATAACTCACCATTTTATTTAAAAGGTGGTTTTAAGGTGAAATGTATAGGATATATACAGTGTTTTAAGAAAACTTCGATTATTGAAGATAGTGTATTCCGATGCCGAAATGTTGATTGTTAATGCCGTTGAAAACTGGGAGTTATCGTGGTTTCAAAGTGACTACCAATTCCGCAGTACTGTCAAGAACTTTAATGGAAAACAATCACGTGTWYATTTGTAATTTTGCAGCAATGCATTGCGGTCTCGGAATRCACCATGCRCATGTCATTTTATTCACCGTTTCCTGACTGAACAGACTGATGTTTGTATATATTATCGACTTTTACAGACTTTGTCAAAACAGTATTCAAACCTTAATTATTTCGTCTTCTCGGACTTGCGAAGAAAATTAGAAAGCATAACGAGGACTGTTTTATGATATCATTTTCAAACTCATATCATCCATGCAACACGACTTAACAAAAGTTAACCTGAGTATCAGAAAGGGACAAAAAGGTTTTCATTTTTTTCCTGCGCGCGACCTCTTTCAGGCCCTCTCAAAGGCCTAACGTCAAATTAAACATAAGTTTTTCTCTCTTAGCGAAAAGCTGTAGTGATCCTGGTAAACCTCGCCATGGCACTAAACATGGACTATTGTACAATGTTAACCAAGTAGTGAGATACACCTGTAAACCTGGATTTAACTTACATGGCGCGTCTGCCATATTCTGCTTGGTGAATGCTACGTGGAGTTCTACAAAACCGGAATGCAAACGTAAGAAACTAGTTTTTTTTGCATGTGACATGAACTGCTTTATCAAGCTGCCAATTACAGCTTGATGTAAATACGATAGCTGGATATAGTTTTAGCTAGCTTTTTATAGTTTACAGCACGAATCATTGGTCAATACTAGACTTACTAGGCCCAGTCCCCGGACATCACAAACCGCGATGGCTTGTTTTCTTGTGTTCACTCTCGGTTTAAACAAACTGGGAATCAGGCACTACACACACAGAATAAGTAATCAAGCATCATAAAATACCGAATTACTAGCCCTCTAACATAGCTCTATAACAATAGTTCTTTATGATTTGGAGGTGTTGACTGTGGTCAGGTTTCTAGACCGTTACGAGGACAAGTATACGTACATTCAACGACTTACGGTAGCATAGCAACATTCAAATGCAATAGACGAGGGTATATTTTGCAAGGATCGAAGACACGACGGTGCCAGGCTGATGGCCGCTGGTCAGGAACCCCAACATATTGTGCAAGTAGGTCGTTATAAGTAGAGTGAAATATGCACTAATTTAGATAAATGTCACTATATTACAAACTGTCAACATCATCATCATCAAATCAAGTCTCGTTGACATAGAGAAGGGTTTGGTTCGTGAATGGGTTTCTTATCATTGGCTGTTGTCATGGCAATGTCTCTCCTGGAATAGATACTGCCCACCCGAGGCACACACCTGGTTTCGGTTCCCAGAGCACAAGATTGTGTTGACCAAATCAAATCTCCTCACCACTACCCCTCCCCCCACTGTAAGCATGCTATGACGTCAATATGCATTGTTTCCTCTTCCTGACTAGGGAGGTCCTGTGGCAGACCCAAGACACCAATAGATGGCAGTATGGTTGCAAATAATGGATATTCCTATACAGCTCGTATAGTATTCAAGTGTCGAAAGGGTTACCAGATGATCGGAAGCGCAACTAGTGTTTGTCTGGACAATGGGACATGGAGCTCTCCACCTCCATCTTGTAAGAAATCAAATATTATATATCATCATTACAATCAGCCTTCAAAGGAAAGTTTATGCTAATATATATAATTCGTTTTCCTTGTAGGTTCCGTGCACCTATTCATGCCGCCGGTCGGGCGTTAACAAAAAGCTGGTTCAGCCGCGGTTACTAAAGATCGTGGTTTGAAGTCAAGTTTCCCATCGCGTCTATGAATCTCTGTAGATAACATTCTCTGAAGAAAATGTCAAATCGTGTTTTTTCCTAATAATTTGTTTTCATTTTTAAGGACTTTCATTAGAGCAAACAATGGCAAACAAAGACTCTGAAATAAATTGCTTTGATTGGCTAAACTTATCACGTGAATAGTTAGGCTTCTTGTCAATTATATGGTGATTGACAGATAATTTATACATATCGTGTAGCATTGCTTATTCGTTGCCAAGTAACTAGTAAATATACATCGGACGTATGTATCAACCAAAACGACTCTTTTCATTGATTTTTTAAATTCCGATGCAAAGTTTAAGCTAAGTTTTTAGTGCTAAGACTTATTCTTTTTTGTCATTTTTAATGCCCTAAAGCAGAAAACAAAATTGACCTCATTTGTATGATTTGCGACGGAACAAAAGAAAGCACGAAAAACGTTTGTCATTATACCATAGCCCCACAAATTTGCATTTTGTCCGATTTGAGCTCCTGTGGGAATACAGGCTAGGCCTCAAATCGGAGAAGATTCAAATTTCTAGAGGGATAACAACCCATTTTTTCTGCTTTCTTTTGTCCTCTAGGCAAGTGAGTCTGTTGTCTACTTAACACAATGGTCGCTCGCATTGAACTTGACAAAGGCTTATTTTTAGAGGCAGGTGTGTTGAGCATCTTTATAACTGAGAAAAAAACAACCACTTTTCGCAAAAATTGACCAACAGTGGCTTCCAACCTGACTTCCAACCTGACAATTCGATTTCATAAATAAAACTAACACGATAAATAAAACCTCAATAAAAATTGGGTAAAACTATTGATCCACATGAAGAAATGTGAGGACTGGGAGCGAGCGAGTGAGATAGACTGGGTACGAAAAACGTCGAAGAGACGTTCGTCCTGGCACGTTTGTAGTTTTAGAATGTACCTACATGTTTTGTWGTGAARTAAAGAAAGTTTACTGTAATTAGACGACAAGAAGTAACAGAAACAGAACATAAATACCTACAAACTAAGCGAAAACTATCAACAACAAACAGACGTGAAAGTGCGGCATTTGCTATTTTATGAAAAAACGTTCAGGGATTCAAAAACCCCAAAAGCCCGTTTTGGATAGGTACGTTCCGCCAGCGGTCTAAAACCCTGACCCTGTTTAAGACACTAGAAAGTGAAAATCCATACCCTGTTCAAGACAAATCGGAAAAATAAGGGATCGCTATCTACGCCGCAGCCATATTGAAAACTGAAATTATACTTACATCTATCAAAGACAATACAAAGTTTTTGATAGCACGTTAATCCTGGTACAGTGAAACGGCACGATTGTCTCGTGCAATATGTAGTATACGACTTGAATCGCGGAGTGTAAATGCCCCTACTACGTACGCAACTTGCAGTACGATTTTGAACTACGGCTTAAAATCCTACGACTTGTAGTAGGAAAATCGTATACTACAAGTCGCGCGCGACAAATCGTACCGTGAAAATCAGCCTTAATATTTCTACGGTATTTCACCTTATGAAAATTATACCCTGTCCAAGACACAAAAAAATTATCGGTCTTATTTTATCTAAAATTGTAGAGCCTGTTTAAGACAATTTCGGGTGAAATGTATACCCTGTTTAAGACAGCAAGGCCAAAAACCATACCCTGGCCAGCGGCACGTCCCCGTATAGCAAATATATGGGAGTACCCCCCCCGGGA